CCCCCCGGATTTGGGATAATTTGGAATTATTTGGGATAATTTGGGATTATTTGGGATAATTTGGGATAATTTGGGATTCGGGGCCAGGCAGAGCCAGAGCTGCGTGTCCCTGTCCCTGTCCGTGTCCGTGTCCCTGTCCCTGTCCCTGTCCCTGTCCCTGCTCCGGGTGTCCTCTGGATTTGGCTGGTTTGGAATTCCCAGGAATTCCTGGGATCGGCCGCTCCGTGTCCATCCGGCTCCTGATGGGGACATCCCGGTGTGGGGACATCTGGGAATGGGGACATCCTGGATTTGGGGACATCCCGGATTTGGGACATCCTGGAATTGGGACATCTTGGATTTGTGACATCCTGGATTTGGGACATCCCAGATTTGGGGACATCTTGGATTTGGGACATCCTGGATTTGGGAATCCCAGATTTGAGGACATCCCAGATTTGGGGACATCCCAGATTTGGGGACATCCCGGATTGGGGACATCCCAGATTTGGGGATATCCTGGATTGGGGACATCCCGGATTTGGGACATTCTGGATTTGGGGACATCCCAGATTGGGGACATCCCAGATTTGGGACCTCCTGGGTCAGGGCATTCCGGTGCTGAAGCATCCCATGGTCGGGGCATTCCAGGATTGGATCATTCCAATGTCGGAGCATCTGATGGAATGTTCTGGTGTCGGAACGTTCCGGTGCTGGATCCCTCTGACCTCGGAGCATCCCCAGGGTGGAACATTCCGGAATGGGAACATCCTGCTGCTCCCGGTGCTGGAGCGTTCCCGTATCCGAGCAGCCCCGCCTGGGATTTTCCTGGTGTTGGAGCCTCCTGCTGTGGGATCATCCCAGGATCAGAGCGTCCCCACGGCGGAACATTCCGGAACATTCTGGTATCGGAGCTTCCTGGTGCCGGAGCCTCCTGGTCCCAGAGCGACCCAGTCCTGGATCAGTGTTGGATCATCCCAGTCCTGGATCATCCCAGTTCTGGATCATCCCAGTGCTGGATCATCCCAGTCCTGGATCATCCCAGTGCCAGAGCGTCCCAATGCTGGATCATCCCAGTGCTGGAGCATCCCGGTGTTGGATCACCCCGGTGTTGGATCACCCCGGTGTTGGATCATCCAGGTGTTGGATCATCCAGGTGTTGGATCATCCTGGTGTTGGATCATCCCAGTCCTGGATCATCCCAGTACTGGATCATCCCAGTGTTGGATCATCCCAGTCCTGGATCATCCCAGTTCTGGATCATCCCAGTGCCAGAGAGTCCCAATGCTGGATTATCCCAGTGCTGGATCACCCCGGTGTTGGATCACCCCGGTGTTGGATCATCCCAATGCTGGAGCATCCCAGTGCCAGATCATCCCGGTCCTGGATCATCCCAGTCCTGGATCATCCCAGTTCTGGATCATCCCAGTGCCACAGCATCCCAGTCCTGGATCATCTTGGTGCCGGAGCATCCCAGTCCTGGACCATCCCGGTGTTGGATCATCCCAGTCCTGGATTATCCCAGTTATGGATCATCCCAGTGCCGGAACATCCCAGTGTTGGATCATCCTGGTGTTGGATCATCCCAGTCCTGGATCAGGGTTGGATCATCCCAGTGCCGCAGCATCCCAGAGTTGGTGACAGTGATGGAACATCCCAGTGCCAGTTTATCCCAGTGCCAGTTTATCCCAGTGCCAGTCGATCCCAGTCCTGCCCCATCCCGGTCCCAGTCTATCCCAGTATCAGCCCAATCCCAGTCCCAGTTTATCCCATTCCCAGCCCATCCCAGTGCCGGCCCATCCTGAGGGGAAACTGAGGCAGCTTGGGGGCGGAGCGGGTGGCAGTGGCAGTGTTGGGGTCCCGCTGCGCCCCCTGGAGGATCGCGGGGGGGCCGCGTCCCCCCTTTGGGACCCCCAGGGACCCCCGTGGAACCCCAAAGGCCCCCGGGACCCCCC